GAGAGAGAGAGAGATCCACCGCCAATGTGAAGGACTGACACGCTGTCGTGCGCGTCGGCGTCAGAGGCTAATTGTCAAGAGTCGAAAGATGGAACTGGGCGTCCTTGCGAGGGAGAGACCGAAGACGAGCGGCACAAAGAGGGTGAGGAGACTTCGGGAAACAGGAAGGGACAAAGAGCAAAGAAAAGACTACAACGGAGCGTGGGACAGAGGTAGAGAGAACTGCAACACGCACAACAGGAAGGTCGAGATCAACCGTAGTACGTGAGGCTGTAACTGAGACCTCAAGCCCATGAATGAAGAAGTGACCCTTCTGGCCGTGGTAGTGGCCCTGCTACCCTCTTCCCCGTCCAACAGAAAGTCATCATGAGGGAACGTTGTTTTCCGGGAAAGGCGTTAGGCTGGTGAAAACATTGCCCTCGAGGAAGAGTTCGGACCATTTATCGATTTATGCGTGTCATGTCTTTGTTAAACCCAAAGACTGCAACTGGTTAAGTATACATTATTTCGCGAGTGATGAGCCGGCCGCCGTACCCATATGCCGGAAAAATCCGTGTGACTGTCTTTTTGAAAAACAAAAAAACAAAAAAAAACGGATGTCCCGCCGAAGGACGTTCGAATGGTCCTTACCGTCCTTGGTTGAGCAGTCGACAGGCCAAGGAAAAACAAAAGAAAAAGAAAGGAAAAATTTCGAAATGCCCCCGAAGTTTGCGTTTATTGGCGGCGTGCCCCTATGAAGGCCTACTTACCCTGTGGTGCCCCTCGGACCTCTGAAATTTTACGCAGGCCCCTGTCAGCATGGGGCGTAACTTTCACATATGCCCTTACTGGACCGCTGGTGGCGTTTCGTCGGTCCRTCCTTGAAATGCCCTCACGAGGGGCACACATCTTTCTGTGATGCCCTTGCAGCAGYGGCGGCAGGAATTCGAATTCAAAGTGGTAGGCATTCCACGCGCCGCCACGAAAAGGTGCAGCAGTGAGTCTTCGAGTCCGCCGCGTCGGTGATCGATGCAGCAGTGAGTCTTCGAGTCCGCCGCGTGGTGATCGATGCAGCAGTGAGTCTTCGAGTCCGCTGCGTCGGTGATCGATGCGTTGGAGTGCATACAGCTACCGTGCGAAGGGGAGCGTGCGCGCGTGTGTGTGTGTGTCTACGCTCATTGCCCTCCTCCCTCCTCCTCCTTCTCTGTCCTTGTCGCTCTCCTCTCTTCTCGTCCATCCTCCATCCTCTATCCTCGTCCGAGTCCTTGTCCTCCCTACTCCTCTTTCCCTCCTCTTCCCTCGTTCCTCCCTCCTCCGACTTTCTCCTCGTCACCCCTCCCTCTCCTCCTCCTCGATTGTCGACCTCCTATTCATCACCATGGCCATCTTCTTGACGTCATCGCCCATGCACGTCTGCATATGTGTGTGTGTGTGTGTGTGTGTGTGTGTGTGTGTGTGTGTGTGTGTGTGTGTGTGTTGTGTGTGTGTGCGAGTGTGTGTTGTGTGTGTGTGCATGTGTGTGTGTGCATGTGTGTGTGTGTGTGTGTTGTGTGTGTGTGCATGTGTGTGTGTGTGTCCATGCTCCTCCTCCCTCCTCCTCCATCCATGCTTCTCGCCCTCCTCCCTTCTCCTCCATCCATGCTTATCGCCCTCCTCCCTCCTCCTCCATCCATGCTTGTCGCTCTCCTCTCTTCTCCTCCAGCCTCCATCCTCTATCCTCGTCGGCTCCATCATCGTCATAGTCTTTGTTCTCCCTACTCCTTTCCATCCTCTTCCCCTGTTCCTCCTCTTCCCTCCTCTTCCCTCCTCTTCCCTCGTGCCTCCCTCCTCCAACTTTCTCCTTGTCACCCCTCCCTCTCCTGCTCCTCGATTGTCGACCTCCTAACCATCATCATGGCTGTCTTCTTGGCGTCATCGCCCATGCACACGCACACGTCTGTATGTGTGTGTGTGTGTGTGTGTGCGCGTGTGTGTGTATATGTGTGTTGTGTGTGCATGTGTGTGTGTGCGAGTGTGTGTGTATATGTGTGTTGTGTGTGCATGTGTGTGTGTTCATGTG